TTTAGCAATAATTTAACAGCAGAAGAGGGTGAAGCACAACTGGCTCATGAAGCAGTGGAAAGAGAAAGGGGTTTTACTATTCACATTCATTTTCCACATTCACTAGGCTTTATAAATTTGATATAAAGAGTGCAGATAATTTGGCTACATGCCCTGGTTTTCCATAATAACAACATTTGGAAAGATTTTTTGAAAGTTTGGTTTTTGGAACTATGATTTATTAGATGGTATGCAGGCATAACTTCGTACTATGATAATATTCTGTCAAGTGAAACACTGCGGTGCATTGACGTACACTTTATGTTCAAACTAAAACTGGAATTTCTAGCTAGGAATCTCAATTCAGAATATAGGGGAAGAAATGAAGAAGATGATCAAAAGGATTAACATTTATGAAGTAAATATATCTAAGCCATAAAGAAGATTGTGATCAAATTTAGAGGTAAGTAATTGTAAATGGAGTTAGAACAACGAGGTTAAATGGATTATTTAAGAATAAACTTTATGTAGGAAGTTACTGGAACCACAATTATACAACGGAGAAGAAGTAAGCAATGTCGTCCAAATGGAGAACTGGGAACTGAGAAGGCTTGTTCTTGATAGAGAGTAGTAGATCAGAGGGCAGATGATTAGTGCGCAGAATTTTGAGTGGAATAATTTGCTAATAGCATAAGCTTGGCTTAAACATCAAGTTGATTGTGACGCCGTAGTTCGGTTTTTAGGTTCATATGACGAAAAGACACATTTTTAATGGTCAACGTGAGGAATAAAGATATGTTTACGGGAGAATATAACTCCAAGATATTTAAATTTGCCAATAAGTTTCACAGTTTCAGTTTTATATCAAAGGCCTTATATCTCCTGGAATGATCGCGGAAATTGCCTGTAAAGTCGACAGCTGAAACTTTTGGTGAGTTCAGTTTTAGTTACCAGTTATGGTAATAAATGGACAGTGAAATGTCGCTAAATTTTTGTTGAGGGAATTACTGACAAGCAAACAAGCGTGGGTAAGCGAATCTGCAATGAACTAGACAGTCATCAGCGAAACAAATTTGATTGACACAGGAAGAACGTGGTGAAAACATTACAAAGTAGAGGTTTAGGTTTACTGGTTTTATGGACGGGGATAACTATTGGTTTTTCTATGATTTAGGAAAATGACCAATGTTATGGGCATGATTAAAAATTATTGCACATTTGCATAAGAAGAGTGAAGGGAAGAGAGTTATTACAAATACCATCTAGTCCAGCAGATTTCATATGTATTTTCGGCTTCAAAATATTAAAAAGACCGGAGGGAGTAATGAACTCATTAGGGTCAAGTGTATTGCCACAGTTGGCAAATCTCTCAGAAGTCAGTTATACTTTTTCTGAAGTTACCATATAAATCACAGACGAAGTTGCAGGTTGTAGCATTGGAATTGGGATTACCATTATCTAAGGAGACACTATTAATTGCTCAAAGGTTTTACCAAAGATGTTGACTTTGGTAGAGTCATAAGAGATACTCATATTATCAACAATAATATCAGGTTTAATTTTTTTTTATCACAGATTTGTCTGGCTTTTTTTAAATACATCAGAGTCGCACTTAATCAAGCGAATATTAGTAATGAAACGATTATGTCTGGTCAGCTTAATTCTTTGAGTAAGAATACTATACAGATTGGAAATTATCGCTCGAGTAAATTGGAAGCGCGACGTGCCTTATTGCTTGAGGCGGTTTGTCCTCCGGCGAAAACTTTTTCGATGACGTATAAGGTCGAGTGGGGAACATGGTATCTAGGGGAACATGGTGGCTTTTTTAAGGAGAGTGTGTGAAACGTGTTCTTGGGTAGTGGTGATGAGAAAGCTCTCGAGGTATAAAACAGTGTTGTCGATTTCAACAGGATATAAATTTCAGTGTTCGAGAAGGTCGAGGTTAGAGATACAGCGATCAAGAGTGGAAAACTAAAAAGAATGTGCAATGTTTTTCTACGGATATTATTATAGGTAAGTTTAAGAAATAAATTAAAAACTTAAAATATCACAAAATCATTTCAAGCAAAAAATAATTTAAAATTTCAACTGATAATTTGCAAACATTGTTGACATGGCAAACATTTTCCGAGGTCCTCAGACGGAAATGTGTTTCATCCACTTTGCACACAATTAGGATATTTACCAAAACTAAAATGCCTGTGTGCCTAATGCATGAGTTTTATGTCGAAACGCGCATGTGGCAAGGATTTAATTAATTCAATCATTTACATTTTCCTCTTATACACGCTAAGACCACCACATCCTTGCGCCATTACCCACCAAACTAGCGTGCTTGCATACGCCACAAAAACAGGAGCATATGTAAATTTGACACGCTACATTGCATTACTTTGTGAGTTCAATTAATTTTAAGCTCCGAAATACATTGTTGGCAAATCTACTCGAAATCTATTTAAATATTTCATTATTTTACTTAATCTATTTTTTTTTTTTGTGGATGCGATGTCAAATTCTATGCGTAATTTGATTTCTATTGGCAAAATTTCCATAGAATTTAATTTCATTAATAAAATGCGTACTCTACCATTAGCGCAAAGGACGAACTTTTCTGTATGTTTACATATACGTTTTTATGTATGTGTGTGCCTGCCAGAATTCTGCACATGGAGGGCGTCCTGTGTATTCCAGAAAACTTTTTGTTTGAGTTTCAATTTGCGTAAACAAAATTACGTTTGACTTTTGTTAAATTAATTTCGCTGTCTGCAGAGTATGTTAATTTTTTCCTCTCATAAAATCCTTTAAAGAAATTTCATAATTTAATAAATTTTTTAATGTTACTTAAAATATTTTCGCTTAAGAGGAAGTAAATTTAATTAGAACTGATTTCTTGAAATTACGGACGTCGCTTAAATTCTGTTATGATTTCATTCAACATGCGTGCAGGTCGGTAAAAACTTCTGTGGAATATGAGGAAGTAAGAATAGGTATCTTAACAATCTTCATCACATCCCTTTGCTCATATCGGTGTCATTTGTGAAAGCAATGCTTACTCGTATATATATTAGAAACGATTGCTTTTGAGGCGGCCATATAACATTCCTGACATATCGACCACCCAAATGTAGAATACGAACGTGGTTATGAGAAGTAAAAATGTGGTAATAGAAAAAAGGCAGAAAGCGACGCATTATCATTAGTGCCAACAGACATTGTAAATTTGTGTAGATTAGTGTTTCTGAATAATAATTCTTTAGAGTTTAAGAATCAAATCACGAGCGTTTTAATGAACACACATTCTCCACACTTTCAAAGGACAGATAACTGTTAAGTGAAAACCCATTATTAAAACTTTTTGATTGGAAAACGCACTTTTTGATTAATTAAAATGAAATCATGTTTTAGAAATCTATCTTCCGATTACAGCAAAAGTATTACTTATTAATATAATTAATGAATTAGTTTTTTATATGAGCGTGACGAACTAACTTCCTCTAAGCTGTCAAGTTTCCAATAACACGACAGTTCGTAAATGACATGGAGAATTTATAGATGAAGCCAATCGATGGAAAGAAGCTTTCCGGCATCAAGTGTGCTAAATTCAAATACATTGAATTCTGCTGGCATACATTTTTTTCATTTAAATATGATTTATTCCAAATATTATAAGTAATAGAAATTATTAACAAATAATATATGCATATGTGTCATCAACAACTAATTCTGCTTTAAACAGTTTCCTTTATTTTAATATTATGTTTATATTACATTATTATAATAATCACTCTTTTACAAAAACGTGGCTTTTCGCTCCACGAACACACTCGGGAGTTGTTAAACTAAAGTCAAAATCATAACAACGTCATAAGTGGGAACTAGGAATTAGGAATTAAGGTACAGGGTAACACATGTATATTAACGGTGTTTTACAAATATTAAAACACTTAGTGACAAGGTAACTCAACAAGCTTAGAATCTGTCTCATTATTTTGCGATAAAAAATTGGTCAACATAAATGAACTAGAGAAATGATAGTTGCTCCGATGACTCCTGGATGGATGACAAAGCTAGAGTTTACTCCAAAGAGCTAAAGCTAGCGTGCACTCTGCATCTAGTAAAATATGTTTTCGTCTATTAGGTGGAGCTTATGGTTGTTGTTGTTGTAACCCGCTGGGGGTGGTCGAACGGCACTTGGTCGTCTTTGACGAGTGGCTCCGGGACGTAGACCCGGCCGTTCTTGGAACCTTATGGTGGTCTTACATGCTTTGGAACAGCTATTGGATTGTAAGGTGTAACAGAAAAAGATTTTGATAGCGTTGGACAGTCAAGCAATTATCAAAAGGATGCAGAAGACGTTAATGTGTCAAGAAGCTTATAGAATGAGCTCATGAAAATAAGTTAACAGTCTCACCTCAAAACGATAGGTATTGTTGAGGAAAACACTTGCGGACTATGTCTAGACTATGTCATCCTTCAACATATCTCAATAGCTTCCTCTGCTGTGTTCGGTCTCAATGAATACTCCATACTTAAGGCCAGAAGGCAGTCACAATTCAAAGCCAAGACTGCTTACCTACTTGTCTCGTGTTTAGCCGATCGATATGCAAATGAAAACGCGTTTGTCTCAAATTGACGTTTACTTCTAGAGTCTGACTAAAGTTTTCTAGAAAAGCCAGACCGTGAAGAAGGACCAGATCGTGTAGACGTAATAGAGTTAGTGGACTTACATACTATTTTGTTGCCGCTAGAAGAGGCTGCAGTTATTGTGTTAGGACAGGGTACGAAATCATTGTCCGAAGTTGAAAAAGATATATCAGTATGGTCTTTTCGTGAAAATATACTTAAATATTCTTTACTCACAAATGTTGTGATTGGCAGCGTAATAGAATGTTAATTTTAAAACTTTAAAAAAGAATTTTTAACAAACTAGTTATATTTTATATAATTATTTCTTTGTTTTTATTTAAAGTAATAAAAAATTAGTTCATTCTTTATCTAAAACATATAAATTAATTTCATATTTAATGTTCTAGTTTATGAACTTCATCAGAGTCATTGGTATTAAGAAGTTTTATAGGTTTCCTGAAATGTGCCTCAAAAGAGCGTAATAGCTTCATGTCATTTTCGTTTTCAACTAAATTTAAAGCTATACCATGTTTCCCTTAAGAAAAAAGAATCAAGATTAAAAAAAAAATTATGTGCAACAATTCAATAACTTAACAGATTTACCGAATCTTCCAGTGCGCCCAATGCGATGCAAGTATGTATCGTAGTCAGGTTTCTCGTCACCATGCAAGATTGGCATATGAAAGTTCACAACTAATGTCACCTGTGTGACATCTATGCCTGTATATTTGAATAAATTTGAAACAATAACATCAACTTCTTGTTTTTACATACAAAATTAAATAAATTAATTAACAATAATTATAAATAAGTATATTATAATATGGTGATGAATTTTAAAAAATAATCTATCTATTCTATTCTCTAATTCTATTATCTAATTCTAATATCTATTCTCAAATTGTGGAAAAAATGAAAATAGTTTAATTTTCATGAAGAATAGGTTTTTGAAAAGGTGTGTTATTATTTTGATGATTGTTATGTTAGCCGATACTTTAAAGCCGATATAATATATTTTGATGTATAACACATACTTTGCGTTTCATTGACTGACTGATTGACTGAGTACTTTCCTGACTTAGTAGTATTATTAGCATCTGAATTCAGTAACAATTATATTAAAAATCTGTTGAATAACATTGAAGAGTATAGAGGATAATGTCTTTTATGTGGAATATTACGGTTTAGATAGATTCATATATATACCTAAACTTGTTGTTATTGATTGTATCAAGCTTAATTATAATAAAAATTATTTATGGTCATAACTTAATATTGTTACTACAAACTATTAAGTTATTTATTTTATTTATTAATAAAATATTTTGAGCTATGTTATTTTTAAACACCACCCACCTCGTGATAAGACATTAGTAGTCACCAAGACTTTTTCAAGTCCTGCTCTAAAGCGGTCTAAAATAGAAAGACGTTCTACAATATTTAATTCTCCCGAGAGCACGGCAACAGAGTGACCATCCTTAGTTAGTTTCCTTGTTAGCCAGGCAGCACATTTACGAGTCTGTAATTTATTTTTATACGTAAAGATTATTAATGACTATAAAGATTATATATATACATTGCAAAAAATAATTGCTTGACCAATTGTAATCCCACCATAAATATTTTGTATTGCTGTATATTTTGATTCCTCGCCTCGGCATAAAGCATAATACTGCTTGATATTATCAAGGCATTCCTGTTCACGCGGCAATCTACAAACATTATAATTTTAATTTAAATTCCATGATTATCAATTTTATTCATGAACCTTATAATCTTAGGATTAGGCACCATGTATTGCACAAAATCGAGCACTTCATCATCGTATGTTGCGGAAAAGAAAATCATCTGGCAACTCAAGTCAAGTTTTCTAAAAAATTAAGTCACGATTTCTGGGTAAAGTATTTATTAAATAGCTTATAACAATTACCTATGAATACGAATACATCGATCATGATGACCTTGAGTAGAAACCATGGTATCAGCTTCATCTAAAACAAAGACCCTAATCTTACTGAGATCAAACCACTTGTATTTAATTCCCCAATCCATGACTTTTCCGGGAGTTCCAATAATAATCTGTTCCGTGATTTGAGCTACAGATGGATCTAAATAAAAATAATTGCGTATGATCATCGATTTTTTGTTTTTTCTAAATGTGGTTTCATTAACGGAAGACATAAAAATATCTATTAAAATATTGTATTTAAGAGGATAACTATTTCGAAAAATTCTAATTTACTCCAATTTTTTAATGAAATTATAAAAAACCTTTATCATACGATTCTGTGTGTCCCACTCTAGAAATATAAAATTTTCTTCCATATGAGTTTACTTCCGTTGCATTACGTTCTTACCTAACGAATTTGTTTTTCATGGTAAATATTAATTATGAAACTACAAACTTTTATCCAATAAAGTCAACTGCACCACTCGATAGGATACTAGATACGGTCTTCACAGCAGGGAACACGTGATACTGCGATCATTGCCTCAGGCGAGTCCAAATCGTTGCACAGTTTAAAAGAGAATTTGCTTTCTATTATATTTAACAATAATTCCATTTCAATATTAGATGGAATTAAATATATAGGAATAAATATTTTTGCCTATTAACATGGGAAAGGCACATATCAAATAAGAGAAATTAATTAGACATGAAAGTATCAAACATGATCTGACTGATTGGTTGTGAAACAAAGTTTGGTTAGTTGGAAAACAAAATAGTGATAATAGTGAACAAAAGAACGTATGTATGTAATTAATAATCTCCAAGGGGTTAGAATATTCCCGAGGTAAGGAAAGCCTGTTGTAAGAGGCGACTAAGATCCCGGTGCCATTCCAGCGCTGTTTGGAATGTAAATGGTAGTAAGTGAGATTCAGTTCCGACACCCGAGCGGAGGCATATATCTGGTACCACAGAGCTTGCAGCTTCTGCTGTTCTAACCAATTGAGGTTGGTAGTGTTGCGATGGCTGTGATTAAAATTCAAATTTACGAGCGAAGAGTGATGGTATTTATTTACTTTCATTCAGCGTGGAATTGCGTTTTCACACCGGGTGTTGTGACCCAAGCAACAACAGGGGTTAAATACGTGTTGCTACTTACATAAAACTTCAATTGGTACCGGCGGAATTCCCCGGAATTCCCATGGGGCATATATCGACGAATTATCTTGATACATGTGTGAAAAACACAATGGTTTTGGCAGACCAAAAAGGTACCCATGTAAAATATTGGATCTTCATGACGATATCTCTTAGTTTAACCGGAAAATACTTATTCATACACCTGGTATATTAAACTTTAACATTATGCTATAACTGTATAATGCATAAACTAATATTAGCATACACTAGTAATTGATTATGTCTTTATAAAATTTATAGGATTTGCTTATTGTTACGAAAAAAACATTTGTATGTACTTACTGGGTTCGCCACGCACTGCATATATCACTGTGATACCTGCAGACAGTTTAGTACAGATCTCACCTGTCTGTATTGCAAGCTCATACGTTGGGCATAAGCAGATAACCTTAAATCAAGCAATTTTTATTTCATATATTAATTTGCTACTATTTAAATAAGTTAAATTCAATGTTTTTCAATGTTGACATAATGAAACATAAATATCAATTTAAGTCTGTTAAAATTTCAAGTTCCCGCGAGATCACGAAAATATATGTAACTTTGAAATGTTTTCCGTTTTTATTTTAATCAAGACTGACGAATATGACTCCGTCCTATTTTTAACACATTTTACCTATTTTATCTGAGATTGTGCTTAGAGTTTATAATGAAAGCTTATTTGTTTAATATAGTAAAGAATCAAATATTGAACTTAATGAATTTTAAAGTATGTTTTATATCTTTTATAAAAGTAACTTTTAAATAATGATATCCTACTTCGCAATTACCTGAGGATAATTTAGTTTTTTATTTACACGGGTTAACATTGCCAACACAAAAGCAGCCGTCTTTCCGGTTCCAGATTGACTTTGTGCGACTAAGTTTAAGGGCGGATCTGCCAATAGGAGTGGCAACGCATTTGCTTGTATTTTGGAGGGTCTATTGAATCCAGCTGCATAAACTGCCTTTAGTAGGTCCGCATCCCTATACAAACCAAAGACTGTAAATAAATTGGAGAAATGTAGAAGTGCACATATTACATACATATGAATGTCTTCAAAGTTTTTAATGGAAACAAGTGGTGAGTCCTTATTTGCAATATTATCATAATTCTTCAATTCATTCAACTTTTCCTTTACGAAATCTATAAGAGTATAGTTCCTGTAAATTTAAAGAAACTATTTATTACTATATTTAAAATATCATATTATGCACAAATACTTATATTTAATAATTATTTTAACTGAATACTAAAACATTACAGTTTACGGCTAGGATACAAAAAAGTTAATAATCGGAGATATAGAAAAATTGCAATCAGAATTTAGAGAGAAAAAAAAATGAATTTTTTTTTATTTGATGTATGTTATTATATACCCATGTACTATATGGCTGAATTAAAATTATCCTATCGTACTCGGTATTTTTCGAGCTATTAGATATAATGTAATAAAACTTTGTGGAGATGGGTTATGGTGGAGATATTGTAATACATTTTTTTTAAACATAATTTTTGGGATAGTTGTTTTCTGGGAGGGTTGTTTTCTGCTTGCATTTTGGGTGCTATAAAATTGTTAATAATTATGCAAAAATAGTTTTAAAAATGTACTTCAACGTAGATTTTTAAACTAGTTTCAAGATTTGTATACAAGTTTTTTCACTATATTTATTATGTTGAGGCTAGTTGGGTTATGCAATTGAGTCTCGACTGGATTATTGCTTATCATTTCTTTAGACTAAGCAATAACTGAGCTCAGATCTGCATACCTTCCCGAGGAACCTGTAACCATTCTAAGATTCATTAACACGGTGTTAGAAAGCCTGTCAGTTTTCGTAAATAGTTTCTAGGCTTTATCATTTATGTATTTTTTTGATCGGATGAATCTTGAGGTCTCAGTCTTCTTAATATACCATGACACCTTGACAAGTCTTCTCAGAGCCTTGTTTTGTGCAATTTCCAGTTGGCGAATAGTAGTGATTGACGCCTTGCTGAATGCTACACACCCATATAGAAATAGCGGTCGATTTATTTTGGTATATATCTGCTTCCTGTTCTTCCTGTTCTTCTTATTCAGTTTTTCATTTTTTAATAGTGGTTGGAAGTGATGAAGAATTTTGGCACAGCTAATGCTATTCAGTTGAACATGTTAAAGCTACGTGAATCGTTTGTCCACCGTAATGACTAGATACTTAATCCTATCCTCTCAGTTTATTACGATATCTCCCACTCTCACTCTCGGCGGGTACTGCCTCCTCTCAAGCGTAACAAACAGAGCTTTAGTTTTTCCATTATTGATTTTTATTTTCCATTTCTGGAAATACTTCAGGATGAGGCTTATATGCTCTTGAAGTGTGTTTGTTATGTTGAGAGCACATTTATCCGAGTATAGCACACGCGCATCGACAGCGTATAACGCCAGTGCCAAGGGACCTAACATTGGGAAATTGGATGTATAAATGTTGTAGAGAGTGGGGGAGAGTGGCGGTCCCTGAGGAACCCCTGGTTCTATATTTCGAACTGACGAGAGAGCGCTATTAATTTTAACCTCCCACGTAGGAAGTTGTCGATGATGTTAGTTAGCCTGACTAGAACACCGCGATGAAACATTTTTACTTTCAGAGAGTCCACAATGAACCCGCTACTTGTGCTTGCGAATTAAATCCTGCTCATTTATCTACCCTATACTCCACTTCCATGCTTTCTGGTTTGGATAGACCCAGACTTCTTAGTATTAAGCTTCTTTAACTCATTTCTCAGTCCTTATTACTGGAACGAAATTTTATCTATTATACTTCGGGATAATAATAGAAATTCCCTAATGTATTCCTCCTACCACAAAAAAGAAACTGATTCATCAGTAGCTTTTACATATCCTGATACGAATATCAAAATCATGTTTTGCTATTTTCTATAATTTTCATATTTCAATTTTGCAATATAAAAAAACAAAAGCTTTATGCACTTACTTTGCAGGTGTAACCTTATTTCCAAATCGATCCATCAGAGAGCTTCTTAGTATTCTGGAATCAGTTTCTACTAATGAAATGAAGTGACAGTAATAATAATTATAAAATTATATTAAACTTTTTTGAACTGATGTGTTATATGTTTATGTATATATGAATATTAAGCTACTTTATTTTCATAATTTGTGTTATAGCGTCATTTATTTTTTTTTTTTTGATTTACACAATCATTTAAAACCTCACATAATAATGAGTAAGATTATGAATACTATATAAAGATAATGGGATTCTTTATATTAACAATGTACAGACTTGTTATTTATTGCATTGTGAATTAATTACATTTCTTATTAAATTGATTTAATCTTATTTAAATAGTACTGTTATGACATGGTGATATATGCAGCGTATGACATGTATCTTTTTATAGGAGATGTTTTTCGGAGCCTTTTAACGCCTCTTAGCGTTCCATTAGTTTCATCGAGTAAAACATTAGAATCTAAGGATATTTTCCACAGTTGGATGTAAATGTGAGAAGTGTGTCTACATTGCTTCGTAAAACACCAGAATTAGGAAGTTAGCGATGACAAGCTTCCTTTTTGTAGAGAAATATACATAGTTTCAGGTAGAGGCGAGGCGTCGAATGGTTCAGAGTGTTCACTGAACACCTTAACAAAGCTTCCTTTTTAGATTTTTTTTATTAGGTAAATAATCTCGCTATATTGCTACTTAGCATTTTTATAATAGCTTTTCCAAAAAGATTAACATAAACACAAAACGTACAATACAAACAAAATCACACATACATATGTTAGTTACACCCAACACTACTTATAATTAATAAAAGAGTAATATATATTAAGGTTCAGAATAAAACTACACCGCGCTGCTTACAAAGCATGCAAATGAAATAACATTCACATTGGGCCTATGTTCAATATTGAATAAACACAAAACATACAAACAAATATAACAATAAAAGAGAAAACAAGTCCCGCAAAATGTACGTAAAATAATCATAACTCTTAAATTAATGCGTGCAAGCGGTTCAATAAAAAAAGTGAACCTCCAATGTTATGCGAAGTAAATACAAAAGAGAAAAGAAATGACTGAGCGAAAATCGCTTTACATTTGATAAGAGGTTCAGTCGACTGAACTGAACCGCAAGTTCATACAAAGCGTGCAAATACAATCAAAGTCACGGTTGCTGTTTTATAAGAGCAAATGGTTCAGTAAAAAAACTAAACCGCCCATAGTAAATACAAAGTAAAAGAGTAAATGAATTCATGAGAGTTTCTTACTCTTATGTAGAGGTTGGAAATAAATCAAAAACAAAGTCATTATTGCAATTTTATACTAGCAAATGGTAAAAGTAAAGAAAAAAATTAAAGAAATTTGAAGTGAAAAATAATATTTAGAAATGGATAAATGTGTGATTAAAGATTTAATTCAAATATCTTTTTTTAAACGATCCTCTGAAAAAAAGATTTTAATTCATAAAATGAATAGACCAACTCCAGATATGAAGAATTTGATACCTATTGTAAAAATGTCGAAATCTGTGGTAAGTCGTCGTTTTCCTACAGCTATAGCTTGTAAGGATGGAAATTTTGTAATAATTTCCAACCTACATAAATTTAGTAACACCACCACTTTGAACAAAATACGTGAAGTAATCTGTAATTAGGAGAAAACATTTCAATAATAAATACAAAAGGTATATAAATAAAAATAACCATATAACATACCTTCATTATTTTTCCACATAAATTTATTTAAATTAATAAATAATAATTTATTTATAAATTATTTATTATTTTATTTATAAATAATTCAACTATAAAATAAAACCACGAGCACCGCCGCTTTTTATAAAAATGTAAACAAACATTTACAAACGTCAAAAATGTCAGAATGCAATTCGCTGCAAAAAGATGCACAAGGGAGCTTTTGTGTAAAAGTGTTAAGGGCAGTAAGTTCAACTAAGATCAACTCTAAGCTTTGTGTACTTTACACAAAAAGTTCAAGAGAAATGCATATAAAATAAGGCGCAATTTTCTAAGAATTTAGTGAGTCTTGTATGATCACTCGGTGGCATTGTATGTCAAAATATAAAATAAATAAATATAAAAAATATTGTCTGACACAGTGGCGGTTTTAAGCCTAGTTGTATAAATTACTAAAATATATATATAATTGTGTACAAGTGCATGGGCGGTTTTAAGTCAAGACACTTGGACACTATTGTATAGATATTCTATAACCAAACAAGGAAATATATTTTTTGTATATATACACTAACCCTTCTGTCCCACACAGGTACGCATTGAGCAAGTAATCATACGAAGATACAAACCACGGAACCAGATTAGAGATCACCGAGCTCCAAAGGAACAACCTCCAGATACAGCAGAATACCAGGAAATAATCTCAAGTTTCTCAAGTTTAATCACGTTTAATGAATTTACTTTGTTTTTTTTTTAAAAAATACTATGTCATTGAATTGTACACATTAGTAATCTCAAGTTTACATAATGACGTTTAACTAAATTCCTTTTTTTATAAATACTATTTTCATGAATTAATAATATTTTAAATAAATCTACATTTAAAATTTAACACACATTACTTTTATTTTGAGAAGTCCTGTCTCCGCGAATATAAATTTATTGTAGCGACCCCCTGGAAAAGACTGAGGATACCCCAGCATAAATTATAACGAAACGGGAAAATCCGTGTCGTTACAATTTATGCCCCACGTTGGGCGCCAACGCATTGAGCAAGTAATCATACGAAGATACAAACCACGGAACCAGATTAGAGATCACCGAGCTCCAAAGGAACAACCTCCAGATACAGCAGAATACCAGGAAATAATCTCAAGTTTCTCAAGTTTAATCACGTTTAATGAATTTACTTTGTTTTTTTTTTAAAAAATACTATGTCATTGAATTGTACACATTAGTAATCTCAAGTTTACATAATTACGTTTAACTAAATTCCTTTTTTATAAATACTATTTTCATGAATTAATAATATTTTAAATAAATCTACATTTAAAATTTAACACACATTACTTTTATTTTGAGAAGTCCTGTCTCCGCGAATATAAATTTATTGTAGCGACCTCCTGGAAAAGACTGAGGATACCCCAGCATAAATTATAACGAAACGGGAAAATCCGTGTCGTTACAATTGGCGCCCGAGCAGGGACAGACAGACTTCTCAAAATTAAAACGAAGTAATATCTACGTTACCATGGCACAAGCTAACATGATCAAAAGATAAAATCTAAATACTTTCATCCGTAGTCCAATTCAAGCCAGTTCAACAGAGAAACATACAAGACGTTCGCATAAGCAGCACATCATGGACTTATCGTATGCACAAACCGTGGAGCGGATACGAAAATGGTCTGTAAAGTACAATGGAGGAGTAGATCCAATAGATTTTGTGGAAAGCATAGAAGAGTTAGCAGAACTTGACGACGTCAACGTGAATCTAATTCCCAGGATGATGCCTGTACTGCTTGAAGACAAAGCACTGATGTGGTACCGGAACAACAATAAACAGTGGAACCTCTGGTCAAGCTTCAAGACAGACTTTCTAAAATTTTTTCTTTCATCTAGATATTTCGACAGATTAGAAGACGAGGTGCGAGCACGAGTTCAGAAGGAACAAGAAAGTTTTAAAGATTATGTACTGGAAATCAAATATCTTATGCGACACACAGGCATAAACCAAGATTCGCAATTGGAGCAAATATACCGAAACATGCGCACAGAGTACCAAATGTACATCAAACGTCGAGACTTTTCGAGCTTAACAGAATTAACAATACTAGCTGATGACTTCGAAGAACTTCGCGCAGAACAGGATAAAATGAGTCGACGCGGTGTTCAACAGGAAGTGATAGTTGGTCGCATAGAAGTTGAATATCCACAAACGATGTTATTGGAAAATACAGTGAGACGCGTACCTACTATGTCGATACAAGATAAACTTATTCCCAGTTCAAATTCCGAGTCACCTATTCTCAACCAGCAGAGAAGTAATCAGCACCGCAACCAGCCGACAGCTAAGCAAGTAACAGCACGAATCATACAAGATCAAGATATATTTCAAAATCAAATGTACCAAGTATCAACTCAGCAGAATATCCAACATGTCATGCCAGTAAGAGAAAATCTAAAACCATTCAATCGAAACCAAGTCACAGAAGTTCAACAAATGCTGCAAGTCCAACCATGCGAACCAAAGCAAGAATCACAAAATATTAGGCCCATCAGAGGAAATTCACAGGTGCAAGAAACACAACGACAAGTAAACCCAAAACTTACAAAGAAGAATCCCGAAGTATTTAAGCCAGCACAAGTTACACCAGATCAGGAAATATTTCAAAGTCAAACGAAGCAAGTATCAGTACACCAAACACTGCAACGTGCCACGCCTTTCAAAGAAAACCTAAAATCGTTCAATCAGAATCAGGTCAAAGTAGGTAAACTTCCAAATGAAGTTCAAATTCAAACGTGTGGACCACAGCAAGATTCAAAACCCATCCAGGAAAATCCCAAAGTATCCGAACAACAGCGAGTCAACCCAATTCAGCAAATATTACAAGCTCAAACACAGAAAGTACAACGACAGAAAGAACCAATCGTAATCAAAGCGCAAAAATACAAGATTCAACGGCACAGAGATCCAAGTCCGGGCAAGGAAAATTCACAGGTAGCTAATCAACCAAGAAAAATCAGTCCAACGAGGAATCACCATATAACACAAGTTAAAATTCAAGATACACAAGGATACGTAGAACAACATCAAGTTCAAGATATTGAAACACAACAAGGTCAACGAAAGGTTACAGTAATCGAAGATCATACCAGACGAGTTCGATTGACTCAAGAAACCCCAAGTCCGACACAATCATTGCAACAAGTTTCAATTAACCACGATAGTCAACGAAAGCAACAGCCAGAAGAAGAAAAAAATGATTCCACACGTCCGAAGGATAAGATAGACAATCCTCTGATACAAGTACAGGAACTAAGTCTAGGAATTCCAAAACCATTCAGCACCCAAAAATTGCAGAAGCCGATGAATAACTTAGATGTACTTCAGCAGAAGGACTATGATCTTGTTAGTATACACCAAGATAAATTTTTCAAAATATTCAAGAGCCCAAAGAAACGGCACAGAAATCATGCAGGCAGATAGTGGCAAATTAATTTTCCTCGGAGAAGGAGGGAAATGTAAGGATGGAAATTTTGTAATAATTTCCAACCTACATAAATTTAGTAACACCACCACTTTGAACAAAATACGTGAAGTAATCTGTAATTAGGAGAAAACATTTCAATAATAAATACAAAAGGTATATAAATAAAAATAACCATATAACATACCTTCATTATTTTTCCACATAAATTTATTTAAATTAATAAATAATAATTTATTTATAAATTATTTATTATTTTATTTATAAATAATTCAACTATAAAATAAAACCACGAGCACCGCCGCTTTTTATAAAAATGTAAACAAACATTTACAAACGTCAAAAATGTCAGAATGCAATTCGCTGCAAAAAGATGCACAACGGAGCTTTTGTGTAAAAGTGTTAAGGGCAGTAAGTTCAACTAAGATCAACTCTAAGCTTTGTGTACTTTACACAAAAAGTTCAAGAGAAATGCATATAAAATAAGGCGCAATTTTCTAAGAATTTAGTGAGTCTTGTATGATCACTCGGTGGCATTGTATGTCAAAATATAAAATAAATAAATATAAAAAATATTGTCTGACACAGTGGCGGTTTTAAGCCGAGTTGTATAAATTACTAAAATATATATATAATTGTGTACAAGTGCATGGGCGGTTTTAAGTCAAGACACTTGGACACTATTGTATAGATATTCTATAACCGAACAAGGAAATATATTTTTTTAGTATATATACACTAACCCTTCTGTCCCACACAGGTACGCATTGAGCAAGTAATCATACGAAGATACAAACCACGGAACCAGATTAGAGATCACCGCGCTCCAAAGGAACAACCTCCAGATACAGCAGAATACCAGGAAATAATCTCAAGTTTCTCAAGTTTAATCACGTTTAATGAATTTACTTTGTTTTTTTTTAAAAATACTATGTCATTGAATTGTACACATTAGTAATCTCAAGTTTACATAATTACGTTTAACTAAATTCCTTTTTTATAAATACTATTTTCATGAATTAATAATATTTTAAATAAATCTACATTTAAAATTTAACACACATTACTTTTATTTTGAGAAGTCCTGTCTCCGCGAATATAAATTTATTGTAGCGACCCCCTGGAAAAGACTGAGGATACCCCAGCATAAATTATAACGAAACGGGAAAATCCGTGTCGTTACAAGCTTTATGGTAAATAAAAACCAGTGGTTTTGTACGCGATTTGCTTGTGGAAAGGACAAAACTTAGAAATAGGGGGAATACGTTATAGTTGGAATTCTGTTTTGATCAAATTGTGAACACCTTGCTAAAAAGCTGACGCCTCGCTACTGGTTGCAGGCATATTTCTTAAAGCCTCGCGGTAGAGATCAATGTGTAACGAATGAAATTTAAATGTACCATATGTAGCACATTAAAGACATATCTGTTGTCATTCACGAAGTAATTAATCTGATTTTGTGTTGTGGTGGCCATATAGCATCTCTATTCATACATGTCAACGTAAAATAGAGAAAAGCGACAAGCAACGTACCAACATTAATGCCATCAAGATTAATAATGCAGTCATTATTATTAATGCAGTCAATATTAATTTGTGTTGCCTAGTGTTTTTAATAATAAATAATTTAAGATAAAAACACAATCCCAAGCTTAGTATGGATTTTGTATGCTAATTATTATTAAATTTAAACAAGACAAACTAGGAAGTAATTGAAGTACGATATCCTATATTGTAATAAATTTATTTCAAATAATTCTGTAAGAACCCAATTGTAATTAATTACGGCCTATGAATGATGTACAGATGTTTAGTGTAAACGTAAAAATTTTTTTAGAATTATGTATTATTTATGTTATCGATATAAATCCTAAAATACAGCTCTGCTATTTATTAGGAAGTAGCGTCTTCGTTGTCAAGTTTGATCGTGTTCCTCATTGTGAAAAAGTTGTAAGTTAGCAAGAATTTCGATTCGCTAACTATTAGATAAATTGTGAATTTTGAATTTATAGAAATAACTTAACAACATTAGAATGCCACGCAAAGTAAAGGCTTGTACTTCTGATACGAAGTGGACCACAAACAAGGAAATTGAGTTTATTTTTGCTATGGGAAACTTAAAACCAGTCGGAATTAACAAACACCTTTACATGGATGTCATAACAAAGAGACTATCTAAAGCACTCTCCAAAAATGTAAGCAGCGAAAATAATTGGTCATATTTGCGAACTTTATACAACCTTGAAGAGTTAGAAAAAGAGGAAAAACTTCCATTTAGTAATGAACAGATGGAATTCAAATTAGATGATGATGAGTATAAATACTATAAAATATTAAGTTTAAAAAAAGTATCGTTGAAAAAACCATCGTCTGCTGAACTTTCCTCTGATAATAACATCAGTCTAGGTAAAATATTTTTGCAAACAAAAAATTAATTATTATTAATCTGAATTTTTAGATGGAGGGCTCACTGAAATAGTCGATAGTATGGGCAAACTATAACTTTGTTCATAATAAATATGTTCTGCACAGCGGCTTGTTTCAAAAAGAAATTAAAAATTCAATACATTTATTAAATATATCACAATAGAAGAAATTAAATAAGAAATGTTGTGTAACATATAAATAATTTAATAAATTATTTATTTATTTCATGTTTGGTATTTGTATTAAATAATTAACAAAAATTACTTTTGCTCGGAATTAGATATTTATAGGAATTTATAGGAAAATAATTAGACCATCAAGTCATTGGTCATTTTAGATAATGTTTCATGGCATTCGGTTTATTTGAATTTATTTATTTAAATTATCAGAAGATCTGGAGGTTGTGTACCTCTCAAAAAATACAGCAGATCTATTACAACCAATTTATCAGGGTGCTACATAACAATATTTAATTATTTTCGAGGAACTTTTAATACACATACTCAGTTAAGCCATAGTGAGTTTTCGATGAAACAATATTAGTAAACTACAGCATCAGAGATGTTATTTAAAATATTATCAAATCAAAGAAAGAATTAATCAACCCAAAATATACTCTGTTTGGAAACAAATATAGATAGAAAGCAATTCTCTTCCTGATCTTCGACAGAACGTATGGAGCTTAGCAAACGAGCGTGGCTGTGAACATTTCGAAAAACGTAATTTGATTGAATTGTGTATGCTAACAAAGCAGCTCTTTCGATTGTGGAGTTAACCCGTTACCCAAGAAGCACTTGATGAGAAGCCAGAACCTGTTATACACAGTTAACTAAGAGCAAAATCCTTCAAGGGTGTGCTTTCTTATTTCGAGACGAAAACCAACATTTTACTTTAAAATCATACCGATGAAGAACATGGTTTTAGAGCATACGTAACAAATTTGTATAGTCCTCGTCCTTCCTTCCTCAAAGCAACGTTACGCACTTGAATTTTCTGATATTCCAAAAAAATATTTGTTTGTGTATTGTATATTTTTATTTTCACCAAAGAATTTTTATAAACGTATCTTATTTAAAAAAAAAATAATTATATACAATTATATAAATATTTAAACTTGCTACGAAGAAAACGTATACCAGAAAAAATTATACGCATACTTAATGCAACATACGCTGACACAATGCAGTTTATTGAATTCCATAATTACAATATCAGCAACCCCATAAACGTAAAGATGGGAATAAGGCAAGGCTGTGTTTTCTCACCTCTGATCTTCATTACTGCGTTAGATGACATCATGTGCAAGTTAAGTCGTTCAGCGAGAGGCATAGTATGGAACGCATTCCGTAGACAAAAATATCTGGATTATGCTGACAATATATGATTTTATGACATATAGCTCATTTAACGGCATCCAGAGCAAACTTAACGAGATTCATTCACATGCAGCAAAGATAGACCTAAAAATAAACTTAGTAAAATTGTATAAATACAAGAAGTTCCCACCCGTTTACTTTTGGATAACAATACAATCGAGGATTCAATTACCTGGGCTAAACCATGCATGTCAATGGCTGATCTACAGTGGATATAGATGGTCATATAGACTATGGTCATTCAATCTATTCATCATGTGTCAAATATATCATGCTTTATGGTTGCAAAACTTGGCGAATCAACACAAATGAAATAAAAAAGATTCGAACTTTCAATAACAAATGCCTAGGGATCATCTACAAATTATTGTGGCCTAATTCTAAGAGCAGCAAAGCGTTTTGGTTCCGTAGTAAAATAGAAATTAAATATTAATATATTTAACCTTATGCTCCCAAGTGGAATGAATAGGCGAGGCGAAAAAAATAAATATTTGAGAAAAAAAAAAATTAATAAATATATATAAATAAATATAAAATAAATATAAATTAAATTAAATATAATATAAATTAATTATAAATAAAAATAAAATAAATATAAATATACATAAATTAAAATATATATAAATAAATATAAAATGGATATTGCATAAATTTAATAAATAAAAATCACAACTCACTCTCTCTGTCACTCCCACTTTCTTAACCATATGTACATTTAAATAATAAATAAAATAAATATTAAATAAAATATGATTAAATAAATATAAAATAATTAAAAATAAAAATAAAATATATATAAATAAATATAAAATGGATATTGCATAAATTTAATAAATAAAAATCACAACTCACTCTCTCTGTCACTCCCACTTTCTTAACCATATGTACATTTAAATAATAAATAAAATAAATATTAAATAAAATATGATTAAATAAATATAAAATAATTAAAAATAAAAATAAAATATATATAAATAAATATAAAATGGATATTGCATAAATTTAATAAATAAAGATCACAGCAGTAAAAAAATCTGACGAAATTAAATAAATCGCCCTCTCTGTCACTCCCACTTCTTTAACCATATGTCACATTTCGTAACAATTGGAGCACAAGACGTACTCCTCTCCATTTTCGAGTTTCCTAATAGCAAAACGAATCCTTTCTCTTTTATTTTCTTAAACTTACCTCTTTTCATTCAAACTACAATTTTTTAAAATTAAAACACAAATGGATTATTTATTTATTAGAAAACAATTTCATTTATTTAATAATTACTTTACGTTCTATATATATATATATATATATATGTATATATATATATATATATTTGTATATATATAATTTTTTTCTGTTTGTAGTTAAATATTATAATTTGTTCACATATTTTTTAAGAAGTTATTTGGATTTCTTATATACTTTTTGGGTTAAGTTTCTAATCGAATAAAGATTTTAATAATATTTTTACTTTTTATTATTAATACAATTTCACAGTTTATTGTCGTTTCTCGACGATCGATTAATGTCGAGACTATAAAATATAATAATATTTTAAATATAATTTCATTTTTTAACATTAAATATTATTAATCATTAACAAAATGTTAGCTGAAATATTCTGTTTTATTTTTTGGAATATTTTTGTTTATTAAAAATATTTCTTATAGTTGATTTGGTTGAAAATGTTAGGTTTATTTAATTTTTGAAGTTAATTTTTAGAATTTGTTATGGTTTTATATATTTTTGTATATATATAAGTATATATATTTAGTAATAAATTAACTTCAAATTAATTCGTTTTTTTATAAAAATTTGGTTATTCAAAAATAGTATAAATGATAATTATAAATATAATTCGTTAAAAAGAAATTAATTTGTCAGTAAAAAATTACTTTTATATGAATTAAAAAAAAAAATATTTTTACGTTAGAAATTTAAATTATAATTTTAAAGTAAAAATGACTGACTTTAATTATATATTTATATATAAATATCATTTATTTAGTTAAGTAATAAACAAATAAAAATTTTTTATTTAATTTTTTGTAAGTGTGTAACAATGTATTTATCGTTTTCTTTTATTTTTAGGATTTTGGTTCATTTCTGAAATATTTTATATTAATTTTGTTAATACAAATTTTCAATGCTTTTATTTGTTTTTTTCTTTTAAACTGAGAATACTATTGAGTTGAAAATTTTTTAATTAATAAATATATATTTTTAAATATTTAAATGGAAAAATATTTATTTTATATATTTAAATATATTATCTACAAAATTTGTTTATTTATTAATTATAAAAAATATGCTTAAAGCGATTTTAATAAATATTTCTTTTTATAATACAAAATTTGTTTTGAAAATATCATTTTTAATGCAATATTCTATATATATGAAAAAAAAAATATGTTTGTATTTTATGTACAAATAAATTCTATGTATTGTGTTATATGCCATTAAGCGGACGGAAAATGATTAAGTAAAAAAATTTATTGAATGATAGATAATAACAGATTGATAGATATATGATATTGATATTATTTTTTAATTTTTTTTATTTAGATAATTCAATCTACAACCTTATGTAGTAAGTATATATTCTTTTATATTAAAATAAGAACTTTTGTTTTTATTTGTATATGTAGCTAGATTTGTGCGTTAATTGTTTTACAGAAAACCTTTTAACTTTAATAGCTAATATAATTTCGTATATGTACATATATATATATATACATATATTAATATGTATTGTTATAATAGTATATTGATATAATATGAGGTGTTTGCATTTAAGTTTGTTATAGGTAAGCGATTAAACGATTAAAAAATGGTTAGTTTAACTTTAGATGTATTAATGATAAGTAGTAGTAGATATTTTGGTTTAAGGAACAAATATTTAATATGCTATGAATTTGGAATTTTAATAATTAAATGTAGAAATGCAGGTACTCAGCAAAAATCTTTAAAAAGTGCACATGTTTAATAAATTAATATTACATCTGATTGCTGCAATAATCATTTAACACCATACAAATGCAAGCTGAAAAGTGTGGATAGATTGAGTATCTGCTTCCAAAAGAAAATTTTAATATCGTAAAAATAGATCAGCAATATATGTATGTTGCAGTAAAATAGAAGACAACCAGAACTTCATGAGGAATAATGATTCTAAGTGATTGTGACTTATTTCTATCCATTATAAGGGTGACAAAGAGTATCAGGATTTATGCTTATAACCAGTTCAAGGAAAAATATTACATATTATGACTATGGATGTTTTATTCTCAAAGACCAAATGAATACTGCCCAGTCTTCACGAAGCCGCAATTTTTAGTAGTGGTATGGATACAAAAAAAAAATTTTTTTTAGATAAAAGTATTTTAATATTCAAAAATAAATAATGCATTAAAAATGATATTTCCCAAAATATGAGAAACTATTTTCTTTATAAATGCGCTTGCAAATCAAAATAAAAGAAAAAATAAAAATATTAATTGCATATAAAGTTATTATATTAAATTGTTATATTTAGCAATTATTCACTGAAACATAATTTTGTTTTGTATATAAATATTTATATAGAAATGTAATTTATTTTAAGCAGGTATCATTTTTACAGCTCTCTATTTTTAGGTACTCTTTATTTTTTGAAAATTATTTTATCTATTTTAGCTGATAAATTTATGTGCTACACCAAAAACAAAATGGAATAAAATTATTGGTTATTAGAAATGATAAATACAAAACGATCATAATAATTTTTATATTAAGTAATATTATTTATTATAAATATTTTTTTTAATCAGTGTTTAAGATTGATATCGACCAACATCAGAAATAAAAATTTTTAACAATATTTCATAAATAAAAAAAGGTTATATATAGTATATATATTGTGCTGACTGTTATATTGTTTTCATGATTTTAAAATTAATCTTTAATTCAATATAAATGTATATCACTTAAAGAAGTTCAATTTAAATATAAATTAACAGATTAGTTTTATTTAAATAATTGAATACTAACAACTTTTTTAAAAATTTTTAACTTAAAATATGTTGTTACTGTTACTTAAAAATATTTCATAATTTTTATTTAAATGAACGTCAGTTAAAATCATAATCTCCATTACATTCAAAAAATAATACAATAGTATTATTATTGTACAATTATATTTAGAAGATATATTTTAATTCGATTTATTTCAACCCAAAAATTTTTTTTGGTTTTTAATTTAGTAGATCTTATTTATTTTAAACTAATTTTCTGCATTTTTAATATATTTTATAATTAAAAAAAAATAAAAAGCGAAAAAATAATTTCGAAAACATCTGACAATATCATCTAAAATGAATAAAGCTTTTTAACGATGAAATAATTCCATATTTTAAAGAAAAAATGTTTTAGTATTTTTTTGATTAAAAGTAGAATTTCAGTTTTTATATAGTAAATAACATAAAATCAAATTAATTTTTTATTACAACAAAAAGGTTAAAAATAAAAATAAATGCTGCAAATATATATATTGTTTTCGGTTCAAGTTCAAAATAGTGGGTTGTACTATCTCATCATAATATAAATAATAATATTAATAAAAAGGTAGTAATAATAAGGAATACAAAAAAAACTTAATAATAAAAATCATAATGATAATAATAAAGAATTTTAATAATAAAAATAATAATAATATTAAAAGAATTATACACCAATAATTGTAATAGTAATGATAATAACAACAATAATTGTAATAATTTTTTTATTATGATAATAATAACTGCAATAAAAAAAGAAAATAATTAAAAAAAGAAAATAATTAAAAAAGAAAATAATTAAAAAAAGAAAATAATTAAAAATAAATAAATAGTAATTTATTTTGTCCCAAATAAATGGCAACTTAAGTTCTCAGGTTTTTAATAGACTGAAATAGTATAAATTATATACTTAAAGAAATTATAACTTTAAATATGTATCTATCTTAGAAAAATTTAATAAAACTGAATAAATAAAAACCTACAAAATTTAGATTTCAAAATTCCTCTACAGAATCGTGATTTGTAACAATTTCTTCATTAAATTTACTTTGAGAATAGATTTCTAGAACTATAGTGACTAATAGACTTAATAAATTTGGAGATCTGCGCTCATTGTTACTTGAAGGTTTATTGCAACAGTTTTTTTCTACACTTGATGAGATTAAGTGCTAAGAATGAGAATACTCTATATGAGATTATACTTAAATGGTAATGAATATGGTATATTGCATTATTGAATATTAGGAGTGGCTTATTAGGTAAATACTTTTTCTGATAAAAAGTTACATTGAGAATGCTGGCGTATAGGCGCATTGCACTAAATAATGAAAACTTTGTATATCAAACTACATATATAATATATTAGAGCGAATATATTTATACTTGAAATAGAAAATTAATAAAAATAAAACAGATTTGGTGACCGGATTATTGAAGTAACTTAATATATCAGTTGTTGTATTTGTTGTCTGTAGATACGAGTAGATTGTCCGGATTACAGACCTAATAGAGAAAATAATAAGAGATCAATAAAACAAAAATATAAATTAAATCAATGACAAGAATAAAAAAAAAAAAATATTTTATTTATGTAAATTGAAGTACGATTTTTCATTCAATATTAACTTTTGTCCTATAGTATTAGCAAACCTGTTTCAAAAATATATATAAAATTATAGAAACAATTTCAAAATAATATAAAAATATTCCCTAAACATCTTTTGAATACAATCCATAAAACAAAATCAGGAGAGAAGCATTTGAAGAACATATTTAACTCTGACTTAGTATTTTATAAAAAATAATCTGGTTAATTTATTAAACGATTTATTACTTAAAGCGTGTACTTTCCCTTTGAAATGAAATTGTGAAATATATCCTTTAGTAAAACTAAATATAGAGAACCTGTTTTCATCATATGCTGCTTTCAGGAAATACGAGTATATATTTATTTAGGTTGACGAAAAATAAATATACTTATATAAAAATTATAAAATAGAATCATGTAATAAATAATACATATTATTAAAATTTTTTATTTTTTTATAATTGTTGGTACTTTTTTATATTGATTCTATTTATAATATAATTAGTGTAATATATGTGTTATTTTTATGTAGAATGAATATAAATAAATTGAATTATTTTTTTTGCGAATATTTTTTTTCTATATTAATTTGAACCGAAAATAATTGATAATATGAAAAATATTTAAAAAAAAAAAAACTAAATATTTAAAATGTGCTGTTAATTAAATTCGATTTATTAAAATGTGAAATGTTTAATTTTGTGTAGGAAATTTAAATTTTGTTAATTAAAAATTCATTTAATATATATTAAATATTAGTTTTTAATATTTTGGTTCATAAAAATGTTGTAGCGTATTAATTTTATAATAATTATATTATTAATTTTATTTTATAATAATTTTATATAATATTAATTTCATATTATATTTATTTTATATTATATTATATTTAATATTATATAAATTTTTTCTAATTAGTTAGTTCATTATAATTTAAATATTTTTAATAGTAACAAATTTTATTTGTTTCTTTTTAACGAATTCTTTTTGGTTTTTATTTATTATAAATACCTTTTTATTTACAATTTTTATTTTCGCATTCATAACAGTTATTATGTTACATTATGTATGTATATATCATTTAGTTTTTAATTTGTAAATTTTTTGTTTTAAATAAATTGAGTTTCTCTCTTTTTTTTAATTACAAAATTTTCTTTTTTCATATTTTTAACATAATTTATTTTTCTGTTATTTAAAATATATATTGAATTTTTAATTTTAATATTTACAAATATTTTGTTTTAATATACTTCGCTCTTTCAATACACGTCTGTACTAGAATTATATTTTCATTTGTTTTTTTGTTTTTTGTAAACTTATGTAATTTTTTGTATATAATCTAAATAATTTCATTTTTTTAAATTTTAATTTAAATTTAAATAAGTTTTCATTAAGAGTTACTGGTCTGTTCTTTTATGCTTAAAATTTAATTACGAATAATTTCATTATGAATAATTTAATTTACCTTTTTTAGTTTTATCAACTTTTCGTTTGTAGACTATGTTTTTATTAGTAAGAATTTCTTATTTATTTTTTGTTTTTTATTTTTATTTTTAAATTTACAAATTTTTATTTGTATTTTAAATGCAGTTTCAATATTATTTTTATATGTTTTAATTCAATTGTAATATTTTATACCTTTTCAAGTTGCAGGAATTTCATACTTTATATATATATATAATATTTTTATATAACTGCTATAATAAATTAAGCCTTTGCATTAACTGGCAGCCGTTGGTTGAAATTCTACACAAAGCCTCCAACACAGATTTTACTTGGTGAGAGCTGCGGTTGAGGCAGCTCTATGTAAGGGTTACTGTAAGATACAATTTAGTTATTGTTTAATAATATGTAAATTTATTTGTTGAATGGTTAATGAATTTATTTAAAATTTTTAAGTATAGAGGAATTAAAGTGTTAGTATTTAGAAATTTTTAGTAATTATTAATTTAAAAAAATTTTATAAAAATATTCAAGCAATAAGTTTTTACAAAAATATTATGCTCATAAGTAATTATTTATTTAATTATGCAAATAATTAATATTGTTTCAATGCTGCTTTATAATTGTTCTTAACATAAAATCTAAGAAGATTATATATAACAAATATTTCAAAAGAACTTAAATTTTCTTAACATACATTTTTCATATCGAAAATAATACTGGAATTATTTTTAAAGTTAACCTCTCCATAAACAAAATTCAAAAAATAATCTTATTACTCTATATAAATATATATTTAAATAAAATTATGAATCCAAAATACTAGAGGAAAAATATATTTTTTTTTTCAGACCGGGTCAAATAAAAAATATAAATACAAAAAAACCATCTTTTAGATACCCCAGAAGAAAACCTATCATTGGGTGAAAAAAATGAAGTAAATTAAGTATTATTTGCATTCCTTTTATGAGACTAGAATAGCTTAAACAAAAATTATAATATAAATTGGTATGGTTTTCCTCCGCAAAAAAAAAAAACAAAATGAGAGAAAGGATCTTCGGCAATAATGAGGAGATAATTAGCCTATCTGTTGTATATCTAAAAGCAACAGTTTTGAGGAGTGTTTTCGAAAGTGTATATATTAGATTTAAAAATTTATCGAAATTCATAAAAATTATATTAAAACAATTATAAATATTAAAGTTATTAAATTAAAATTATTTTTGTCAATTTTTTTGAAGCCATTTAGGTGAACTTTTGCTACTCCCTTCGTAAATACTCATAGTTAACTCATTGTTAAGCTTTGTAGAAACTTTTCAATAAAAATGCTCGTATGTTCGTATGTATATTTACTCTTGTAATTACTTTCAGATATAGGTCTATACTATTTATGTACATTTTAAAAATTTATTTATAACAAACAATTTTTTTAATTATTCAGTTTGTGAGATAAATATGCATATATAATTAAAAATATAATAAAAATATAGAATATAAAATATATCTATTAAAAAATATTTCATAAACTTTTAATTTACAAAAAAGATGAACTGTAGCCGGATATAAAATATATAAAAAACATTATTAAAAAAACCGGAACGCGAAACAAATTCAAAATTTAGTAAGAAATATAATAAAATTAAAAGCAAAGTATTTTTTGAAGTAAATTTTTGTTTAATAAAGATTTTCAGCGTATACTACAATTACTTATGAGCATTTCATAATATATCTTTTATTTTATATAAACAGAAATAATTATTTAAAATAAGTACCATATTGCCTGAAATATTTTTTTTTTTGGTTTAAATTTATTTTTGTATAAAAAATATTAAATTATGTTAAATAGTTTAAAATGTATTTCCAAAAGAAAATGGCATAAGCTAGCTGCGTATTTTTTTTTTAAGCAATTTATCTAATTATGATTTCGTTAATGTTTGACTTACAAAATATATATAAGGTTATAATTTTTTTAATTAGATTTTCTCTCCAGATTATTTTAAAAGTAGTTTAGTTTTTTACTTACAAAAACTGTAGTTTAGTGTAAATTGTGTGTAAATATTATTATTCACCCTCTTCCTCAATTATTATCGATTCACCAGCCCAAACAATGGGACGTCCCTAAATTATTTTGTATTTAATTATGTTTAGATCTTTAATAAAAAATAATTTATTTGGAATTAATTTGATTTATCTAATGCATCGCTGTAGCGTATTTATAAAGCCAAATGTTATTTAGATCCATTAGGACTACGATCTCTTAACACTACCACTTCAGTTTTTTTTCACTAGTATCACTTGATAAAACAACAATGTGCCTATTTAATATTATATTCTTTTAAACTATATAATTTAACCCATGAATAATTAATAATTAAAAAATATTAGCCATTTTATTTTGAAAATAAATAGTGTGTTATTAGCTGTTTTTATTTAAAGTTTTAAAATTGGATTGTGAATGGGATTAATTTAAATGAAATGCTAATAAATGCACTTTCATGGTATGGGGAAAAAGGTGAATTATGTATAATAAAAAATAAATAAACTTTCATTGCAAAAATAAATTGTTTCAGCAAATTTTAGAAAACTAGACAAATATATATAAATCAAAATATAAATATATATATATATAGTGGGAAGAGAAAACACATGCTTTTAATGTAAAAAAGGAAATAATTAAATTATCTCTAGTGCAGTTTTAAGCTACAGGATAATAAGATCAAAAAATAAAATAAAATCTCATAATAGAAATCTTAAAAATCAAATAATTATTACAATAAAATGTATTTAAAATTTATTAGTTTTTGTACTATGTTATGACAGATATATCTTCTTCTCTTATTACGCACTTTTACTCTATAATGGCTGGGGCAATCTACCCCCACACCCCCTGAAACAAAGCCTAAGATCATATAATTTATTGCCCTTTAAGTTATGACGGATCTTAAACCATATCTCCCGAGAGCAAAAAAGTGACTGAGATTGTTAGGCAGGTAAGTAGCGTATCAACTTTAGTGAATAATTTTAGAGCTCCGTCTCTGATATATTTTTTCACTGAGTCAATCCTAAGATCTCTATGTATGTCTATTGATTTAATATACCATAGAATCTTAAACAGTCTTCTTAAGCCAGGTTTTGAGCTATCTGTAATTGCTTTAAGGTAGTATTTGAGGCTTTGCTATATATAACACATCCGTACAGTAGTGCCGGTCTAATTACTTGCGTATAAAGTAACTTTCTGGTTTTAAAGTTGAAGTGATAATATATATATTGAACCTCTAGAAGATGAGTATTTCAAAATGCAATTAAAGTTTGTAAATTATAAGCTTTCAGTAATAAATGACGTCACAATTTTGATTTCCCGTGCATGCCGTTTTAACAACGGATTTTAGTAGAAGCAGCTTTTTGGAGCAACACTATGCTAAGTTACTATGCACTATGCTAAGTTACTATCTTAGTTTTTGAGGTATATTTGAATTTAGAAATTTTTGCAGGAAAACCACCAAAGAGGAAATAGGCACTATCTGGCAGAACTACTTCATATTTCGAGAAGTAAGCTATATCTTTAAATTTATAAATTACTATCTCTTCGTCATTATTAGACTTAATATAAATAGTTGACATAATAGGCGAAGAGAGAGAAGTACATTCTTAGGTTTGCCGGTATAATCAAACCGAATAACTTGTAGTTTAAATAGGGGTACAAGTGCCATCTAGTTAAAAATGAACTATTAAGGTTCGGAAAAATTGGGAATATCATGTAGCTTAGGTAGATTTCAGCACTTATGTAAAATCCACCAAGAATCTAATTTATGATAGATCTTCTATCAGACCTAACATGATAGAAGAATATAATAGAATATATATGGAGTACATAGAGTTAGTTACTTGACTCTATGTGATAGAAGCCTCCCAGTCCTTTGAATGAAGGTCAAAGTTTTACCGTTGAAAACATCAAATGGAGACAGAAATTCCCGGCTCAATTATCTCCTCTTGGCTTAGTTCAAAGCCAAATAGTGACAGAGATACTGATAAGAAGCTAAATATAAGGATGAGGACTTTTTATTGAAAAGAACAAAAAAATACTTGGAAAAATAAATGTGTAAAATCAATCATGAAAAAAATGCATTGTTAAATTATTATTTAGGATTTAAATTTAAGTACAAAAATTAAAAATATTAAACTGTTATAATTTAAAACATATATATACTAATATGAAATGATTCAAAAATAATTTTTAATTAGCATTTCATGCAAACTATACAATTATTAAGTGCTTTAATACAAAGCAGAGTGTTTAGAATATTAGTAAGAGTTAAGGGGAAATATCTAAAAAAAAAAATAGATGGATAGAACATACCTATAAACTACGTTGAAGAATTCTATGCCATACGATAAAACGGTGAAAGAGATGAAATTTCTCACTTATTTATAAACAAATTAATATTTAATTATTTAAGTGTATTAAGCAAATGTGGTACTTTACTTTTGTATACAAATACATATCCGAATATATAACGCAATTTCGTACTATGTTCTTTTTTTAACGATGTTACTATTTGTTTATGTTCTCGAAGTTCAGAAAATTCAGAAAAAGCATTAAACAAATGTTTTCAAACAAAATGCAAAACATAAAGAAGAAGATAGAGTAAGAGTTTTAGAGTAAAAAATTTTATAGATACAGGAAAGTGCTGTGAAACTATTAAATTTGTATAATTTTATAGTATTTCTAGATACTTGTTAAATATACTGATTTTTTAAGTGTGTTCGATTAATTTTACAAACAATTTGTTTAAGTAGATAGTTTTTTGTTTTTGTTTATGTTTTTGTTTCAATTAACAATTCAAATGAACTAATTAACAATAGAAAAGATGTGATAAAAACTTTAAGAGTACTACGATTGTGATATACTCGTCTATAAAGTTACTGAATTTTGTGTATATGTTTAGTTAAAAATACTAATTTAGCTATAAAATTGTTAGTATGTTTTGCAGTTTAATATTCAATATTTTTCACTTTGTAATTGTAATGCAAATACGTTTCTATAGTTTGAGTGAGTCAAGTGAAGCGATTGATGAGCGCCTAGATGAACCTAAACCTAAATTAGTAGGACAACTGACCAGTGATGTTGTTCCAAATAATTTGTACCATCCGATAACAATATTCGATAGATTTAAGTCATCAAGCATTATTTGTGCCACACCCATAAATACTTTCTTTTCAATACGCCCGTAATCGCCCCAAACGGTAACCTGAAAAATATTAACAGAAATAAGTTTTTATTTTGAGATAGTTTATTAATTAAGTAGTATTAAAATACTTATTTTGCTATTTTTTATATTTTATTTCGTTTCTAATTTTTATTCTATATATTTTATATTCTATATCAGGACCTCAAGCGGCCCGCGACATGTTTCTAATCTAACACAATACGGCTAATTTTTCATTATATTTTGGTAAAACCACATTATTTATTATTTATTACATTAAATGTATTGAAAAAAAAGTAATGTTTATTTTAATTATATTGGTAACCTCTTTTTTATAGTTCAACTACTGTAACTACTTCTCTCTGTAATTTATTTTAGTTAAATAAACTTTTTTAAACTCAACAAAATGAAATAAATTATTTTAAATAATTTATTACACTCCAGACATGTAGTATATATTTCATTGTACAACTGGTTCAAAAAACTCGTATCTAGCGCTGTAAGTCATTATATTTTATAATGAAGTTTTATAGAAGTTTGACTGTATATTATATATACTATAGAATTGTCATAAGATACAGTAATTACACTTTTCTAAAAATTACTTACTTGTAATATACAACCATTATACGGCTGTTTGAAAACCAATTGTTGTTGATATAGTGGGTCCAATGTACGACGAGCAGTGGAGGTTTTCATTTTATCAATGCAACGTTTTCCAGAAACCAAGTAAACTTTAACATAGGGCGCGGGTAACATTTTCGATGTGGGCTTTTGCTAAACATTGTTAAACAAAAAAAAATCGTTAGTATATGTACAATATTTAATAATAATTTTTATACATGTATATTATTGATTAGCTATATATCATTAATATAGCTTATAATTTTACAACTACTTTCTGATTTTAATATTTATAATAAATCATTATAACACTATATACTAACCTGTAAGCCTCTAGCACGTATTACTTCTACTTCTAAGAAACCCTTTTGATGGCACATTGATAATTGTATATCACCCAAGGATGGCGCTCCTAACACTTGACGCCCCACAAGCTGACCAGGTCCCAAGCCATCGATAAACTCTGATAACTGCCCATCATTCATGCGTAGTGACGGCGAAAATCTATAGATTTATTGCGATATGTTTGTAAAATATTAAAAAAAAAAAAACTCTTGTTAATTTCATGATGTACCAAAAAAAAAAAAAAAATTTAAGTATTTAAGGAAAAATTATATCTCCGACAAAATTAACATTGTCATTTATGCATAAAAAAATATAAATAAAAATTCACCAAATCGGTTTTTAAATAATTTATAAATTTTTAATAGTTTATTTATACACAGGGAGAAATAGAGATAGTTTTTATATTCATTTTTATTTTTTTGAAATATTTTACCAAAAGTACAAAATTGTGGCTGAAATTTTTTGAGGTGATCAGTGCTTTTTTAGTGTAATTGTAGTTTTCGGAAGAAATACATGCAATAGTGTCAATGTTTGATTATATATTTACATAAAATTGTGATAAAATAATAATAAAAAATTTATTGTAATTTGTTTGTAATTTGTTAATAAGAGAATTTTCTAACAAATTTTTCAACAAAATTTATGTGCAAAAATGTTTGATGCATGCTTTTATAATTTTTTATGACACAATTACACAAAAACGAAATCTAACCTCTTCAGTAAAATAATATTTAATAAAAATATTTACATTTGCTTTATAATAAATTAAATTATTTTATATATTGTATGTAAGTATATTTACAAAATAATTATAAATCAGTAGGTTTGCAAATATTTCTCTAAGTTTTCTTCATTGTCAATTTATTTCATAAGCACTTATAAGAGTACTCCTATGTCTATATCAAAGTCATACAATCATGATTTTTTAGTGAAGTATATTAGTACATAAAAATTTGATATATAATTAACAATCAAAAGACAGATGGAGTGACTTAATCAAACCGACATGAATGTTTAAAAATACATTTGATTAAAATGTAAAATATCTGTGTTATCGCAAATTAATTAATATTTTAATTGGACATTGTCAGATGAACATAAACTAAATATCATTAGCAGTGACAATTGCAAGAAGTGTATAAATCCAAGTGTTAAATTTGAAACTTAAACTCTGTAATATATCTCCAGTTTCTATCCAGATCTTCCGAGAAATTAACTAATACTATGTTCAGACAGCCAAATTTTCTTAATTTCGTAAAAATCAAATTAAGTTAATTTCGAAAGTGTTCATACTGTCCGAAATTAAAGAAATCGTATAATTTTTATTTACAAAAATTAACTGCTCCAATCACCATTTGTATCTGGGAAATTTTAAACGTTGATTATTATAACTATAAAGGAATGCAATCAATAGTGTTATTAGCTTTAGTGGATTTCAGGTATGTGAATTCACTCTATTTTTAATTAATGTTAACAGTTACAGTTTTTTAGGTATATTTAAAATTTCGCGGTTTTATAAAGTCAACTGTCATTGAGATTTATTTAAAAAAAATGTCACTTTTTCGTTATCTCAACTTTATCTTTTGCTTAAAATTTTTCTTACGCATAGTCGCATTTAAAATGTCCCTTGAATTCAACCTTCATTTCAACGAAATTAAGACCATTTATCTTAATTTCGTTCTAACCTTAAAACTGATTTTGAATTTTGTATGGAGAAAACAACTTAGTTTCGCTGAAACGACGAAGACGAAGTTAAGATCTTTGTGACATTAAGATGAGTTTAAACATAGTATAAGATTCTTTGAAGCAAGTTTAATTTAGAGCAGTTTAACACCATATCTGATTATGTATAAGAAGTATAATCTGGTATAACAACTGAGCTATTCCGTTACGATTGGTCCCAGCCAATCCGTTTTATCTGTTTAAGAGATAAGCTATGCAATAGCTTAATCGTTGAGACAATGATTGCTATATAAGGATCAGTTATGTGAAGTTATATCAAGATAAATTTTTATGAATTAAAGCGAAAAAGCTTATGTCTATGAAATCAAACAACGCGTATTAATTGATTGTTAGTTCTGAAGTATATAACGATTTCCGAATACCAAAGTTATTAACTTAAATAATATTTTTAATTATTTATTTTCCTTTAAGATTAATAGAATTAGTTCAACCTTATTTTGTTACTAGATATTATTTTAACCGTCAAAAAAATTATAAAACAGAGTAAGAGTTAAGTACTATATAAGTTAATTTAAATTACACATCCAAATTAAAATTTCACATATAGAATTTTTATATAGAGAATTTTGAAAGTTATAACTCTAATATGACTAAATTTAATAGATATTGAAAATCGATAAAAAATTGTAGTAGAACTATAAATTTGAATGGTTAAAATTTTTAGAATAAATTAAGTAATAATCTTCATCTCCTCTTATTTTTTATATTACTCATTCCCATAATAATGTACCTATAGTTTGTATTCAATCGGGAGGTACTTCTTTTTAAATAATTTCCATTTAAGTTAATATCTTAAGATCTTAAATTTGTTTCTCATTAGTTAGGAGAGATAAAACTTATCATTTGTGACTTAATATTGAAAGGATTGATTAAATTTTTGAGAAAATGAAAAATTAATTTCTGTCTTCATATAATTTTGTGAATTTAAATCTTTGAACTTCATAATCTTAATCTATTGCTTAATATACGTTAGCAAACATATATTATGATAATAACCTCTGAATAGGTGCTAACTTAAAAAACATTTATGTTAATGTACTAGAGCTGAATAGATGATATATAATTGTATCTAAAACATGAAAAATGAAAGTGAAAAAAATACTAATAAAAATAATAATATTGTATTTATAATGAAAACCTAAAATTTATTTATTTTTTATTTTAGAAATATTAAAATTCAAAATAACTTAAAAAAATAGTTTGGTAAAATAGTTTCTATATTCTATTTTTTATTATATTTTATTTTTATGTTTTAAACTATTGAATTTTGTTTTGACAAAAATGTTTAATATATTAAAAAGTATTCATTTCATCTATAAAGTTTATTTAATCTCCTTCAAAGTAGTTCCTCTTAAATATTTAATACCACGATTTGCGATTGGAGAAACAAATCGTATAGTGCTTTGGCTTTTACCTTATTTATTGATCAAAATTATGCTTTTATGTATCTTTTTTAGTTTGGAATATAAAGAAAAATTGTCATATATAAGGAACAGTGTGGTTGTCCCATTACAGAGATGTTATATATCGTGACGATCTGTTACCCAATCAAAGCACCGTCATAGGTGTGTCAGTGACTATAATTTTGAAGTCATTCATTTCATGTTTAGAACATTAATCGGAATCGGTTCACATGTGCCGTATATCATAGCTATTACTTTAATAAAAATTATTTACTTTTAACAAGCAAATTCTGTAAAATATTTTTGATATTTTCATTATTTATGTACGTTTTAGAACACTCACTCTCGCGTCATCTTCAATTTTCTCTCGATTTTGCTGAAAGCATTTGTACTATACATGAACTAGTGATATAATAGACATCTATGGCTCTTGAATGTTTCGAAGTTTTGTAAAAATAAGCGAATCAAAGTGAATCTTCTTATTATACATTATATTGTATATATGATTTGGAATCTCTGCAAACACAAACTGAGCATCGCAAATTGTGTCCTACTTCAGACATATGTTACTAGCAGTGCAACCAATACACAAAAAGAAAGAAAATATTTGTTTCTTTTTAATCTTATTCTGTATAAAGTTGCTTCACTTTTTTACGCCTTCCATATTTAACAATTTTAATCTATATTTTATTTAAATAAGGGGGATTGACTGCTTATGCTTTACTTCTTATGATTTTGTTTAGAATGTCAATAATAGTTTTTAAACTTTAATATTTTAGAGTATACACATTAACATAATATAAATCACATCAAAAATATTAATACAAAGACATTTTTACTTATACATAAATTAATTAAAAAAAATTTTAATTTGTACAAAGCACGGAACATATAATTGACAACATTAAAAAGGTGTAAAAACTTACAATAAACATTTAAAATTTATAAACAGTGAAAATAAAACAAATATATTACATAAACTAACAAATAAACTAATTATTTACGAACAGAATAGACACAAATCTGAAGGTGTTTCACCAGAGACATGAGTACATCGAAAAGTAATCGAAGCAACACAGAACTTAGTTTTGTTATAGAATTGATCTATGCATTTACATGGTACCATATTTTACACTGAGAGCAGAAAATTTAGTAACAAAAGTGAAATCACGAGACAAAAAAAAAAATGTTAAGGCAAAAAATATACACAGAGGTAGCGAGAAATATAGATAGAAAGATAGTTAGATAGTTTTAGAGGCAGCAGTCAACTTTTTTTTTTGTTAAATGGGAAATTCTTCACAGCGATGCAAAAAAAATGTTTGTTTTTTCTAGCATTTTTACTATATGACTTACGATGAGCCCTCGGAGCTAGAGATTGAATGTATGCTTCCAGCACGATATTGCGTTGCTGATGCGCTTGGTGGCACCTCAACAGATCTTTGTATGCTGCCTGCGGAGCCACGCGATTGCCGTTGATGATGCGGATGTGGATGATTGGTAGCATACTGAGCCTGATATTGGTCTGTCAATGGGAGATACGTGAAATATGCTAGGTTTAGATTTCTAGTTTAAAAAATTTTTTTATTGTTTATTATGCGTGTTAGGTTTCGGAAACTTAGGTATATGCACGGTTTGCATCCTTGTACAGTATTCTTAAAAGGAATACCATTTGCTGTATTTGTTCTTAGGATAAAAATTAAATAAAGAGATTTTTAAATCATAAGCCGATCTATATAGCTATACGCCACCTCACCCTTTACGTAGCCAAAACAAAACGCAAAACTTTTAACGGATAAGCGAACAGCAAAAACGAACAATTGCAAACAAAAGTTGAAATGAAGCATAAGCAAAATGAAATCTTAAATATATTTTTAAAATTAAAACATTTAAAATTTATATTCATATATAATTATAATTTCGTTTTGTAATATATAAAAATAGGTTATATGTGTATTATTATATTTGTTTAAGATTTGTTAAAAATATGCAGTGATATATCAAAACTTCACACAA